AAATCCGTGCAGCCAGAAGGCCTGCATCCAGGCTCCTTACACGGTTTTTGACTGAATTTGACAGAGCTGCATTAAAATGACCACACACATAAAGCCATCTGCTCTCTTAGATATTGATGTACATACCTATGCAGTGCTGTCATTTGAAATATACGGCTGGCCTGCTGGAGAAACAGCTGGGTAGTGTTGATTTTCCAGACTTCCAAATATTCTTGCTGAACGGTAAAACAACCATGGGGGGTTTGATTGATGCTTTAAATGGAGCACACTCAAATGGTACCTAGGCTTCAGAAGTGAGACTGAGAAGGCATTTCTCTTCCCATTTTCATTTTGCTGCCCTAAGCAAGGTTACCTAGCCTTGGAAACTAGGCTAGGAAAGTCTATGGGCATTGACTCGTCTCAATTACTTCAGACTTAGCCCACACTGACCACGTATTTTTACAGGAGCTAAGTCTCCTGCATGTATCACGTTAAAGAAAGACAGGCACAGGGCCTGCCAGCTCAGGGCCTTACCCAGTGACCCTATCCATGTGATACAAAGAATTGCCTACTTGTGTTAAAATTTAACTCAACCAGATCCTCCACACCCAAGCATCTTCCAAACTGGTTACTGAGAATTTTTAGCTGAGAAAGGAGGAAAACCAGAAGGCTCTGAATTCTAATATACTCGTTTAGAATTGCAAAGTTGCAGCACACGCACAACGTGTGCCACATTTCAGGTGAGTATTGAAGGTAATATAGTGTGAGGCCGTCGTGGCTATGACGTGTAGGAAACTGCCTCGTAAATCATGGAACCCGTTCCCCCTGATGCTAACAGATGAGAACTCACCAGAACAGGGCCCTGAATGTAGGTAGCCCATGAATCATATGATATGACCATATGTTTAGAACAGGTTAGACAAATTGCACCCTGAGAATGTCTGCTTCTCTCTGCCATTCATAGCACAGAGTGACGGAAGATGTCTGATGGCGAGACGAATCACATCGCAAGTGACTAAAATGTAGCGGTACGAGGAGAAGGCTGATGTAATTACTATTGCCTGCTTAGATGATATCTGGCCCAGGTCAAAATGTCTTGGACATGACTTGAACATTTCAAACTAGTTGCATTAATCCTGCAGAAACAACAGGACATGTATGGCTCTGCTGGCCTAAAACTATAGGCATCTTGTATGATTTTAGGCACTGTGATGTCCTCTTGGCCTCCATCTGTTACTCCAGAAGGATGTGAGTTCTCTATAAGTCTTCTATAAACCCTGAGTCATAACAGTCCGTTATCAGTTGTCCTGGATACCCTAAGGTGCCTCGAATGGCAGTAGGTATCTACGTTTCGCAGCTGAATGTCATCCACACTGCCAAAGTTGGCACCCCAAAGGCTTAATGAGCTTGGAAAGAAAATCACTGCCCCATCAGGATAGAGAAACATGAATAGGGATGGGTCAGAGAAGCTGGTATTTCTGTGGGCACAGAATCACAAAAAGGTTGAGGAAAGGACCTCTGGAGATCTTCTACCCAAGCCCCTGCCCAGAGCAGGATCAGCTACAGCAGGTTGCCCAGGACTGTGTCCAGCTGCATTTTTAATATATCTGAGCACAAAGACTCCACAACTTCTCTGGGCAACTCGTTCCAGTGTTTGTCCACTCCCTCACTGAACACAGTATGCTAAAATGGAAGCTCCTGGATTTCAGTTTGTTCTCGTCGCCTCTTCTCCTGTTGCTGGGTATCACCGAGAAGTGTCTGGCTTCATGTTCTCTGCTCCATCCCATCAGGTATTTGTACACATTGATATGGAAAGGCAGCAGAATAAAAATGCTTTTGTCTGGTGCCGTGAACTTCTGCTTGCCATAGGGTACCGACAGAACAGCATCCACTGCATCGACAGGGCCGAAGCTTAAACCAAGCTTGCCAAACAAGGAAAGTTCTGTACTGCTCATTTACCATTTTACATCACAATGGCTTCAACTGTTGTGCAAGAGGGTGTTTTGGTGTTTTTAATGCAAAGACGGTTGTAAATTTCAAGGACTGGTCAGGACAAAGGTACTTTGGTGCCTGACTGCAATTTATTTTTCAATAGGTGGAGTTAGATACCCAAACACCTTTCAAGAACCATGAAATGTGGCTGTAAAGTCCTCTGAGGAAAATGTTAATACAGTTAAAACAAGGAGCAGTACTTTTAAAACAGAAACTAGACCTTGTCCTAGGATCAATACTAGAGTGAGCATTCAAAACCCCCTAAATATTGTGTAAATTTGCACATACCTAGAATGCAACTGCTTTCGTTGAACTGAATATGTGTGTTACCTACACAAATGCAAGATAAAACCAACATATAGAGTGCATTCTTTCAGATAGTGTTTGTCCTCTATTAATTTCTACAGCTACAAAATATAGTTACTGGTCATTTGAAAATGCTTTCTGCAACCAGTGGCCTGTTGCAAGTCATCCTTTCTCTGTCATTAAATAAAGTATAGCTATAGAATACATATTCCAGGATGTTCTAGGTCAGCGAAACATACTTGTCATGCTGAGTTATTAAATTAGATTATGAGCTGCATTGATACATATTCCTTTTCTGAGCATAAACAAAGAATATGAAAAAAGTATTTTAAAATCTTGTTGAGAATTGAGTTGTTTTCTTTTTTTCCTACATAAAATGGAAGTTAAAAACAAAACTGGAAACATTTTTCAGCAAATGAAAAACTGATATATTTGGAAAAAATGGAAAACCAAACACAACAGCAAGTCCTTTACTGTGGCGTCTTAGAAAATGGCGACGACTGTTGAAATCGCTCCTGTGCCCTTCAGATAGATGGCCGAATTTCTTCCTTTAGGACAGAGGGCTAAGCAGCTTCGAAGCAGAAAAGGAAAAGAGATGGCTGCTGCAGAGCTTGGCAGAGAGTAAAATCTCGGTTGGATCCCTCTTGACGTTATTCAGAAGGGCTGGGAGTAGCACTTGAATCATTTGGAGTCTTGGCTTTGGAGGGCAGGTGGGCTGCAATGCATTTTCGCGATGCTCCGGCGATTTTGGCTCTGCGTGAGAAGGAGCAGCGCAGGACCTGTGTGCAAGGTTTGGGACCACATTGCTCCCAACCTGGCGTGCGTCTGAGTACCAGTATGGGGGAGAAACTGGTATCTTGCTGTTACAGGTGCAGGAATTTTCTTTTGTGTAATGAGATAAGAGCAAAGAAAATCAGCAGTGATCACGAGAGGCATAAAAGGCAAAATTGTGAGATTTTTCACATTTGACTCAGAGCAGAATCTTTCTGCTTTGTGCTGGCAAACGCTGCGATGGATCTGCAACTTTTTATATTCATTGTAGGGCAGTGTCACGATATATTGGTGACAAGTATTAATCAGGTACTATTTAATAATAATTTAATCTGGTAGTCCAGAAGAGAGAGTAAAAACCTGTTGATGTTGTGATTTGAATCCGTTCTGTATCCATTTCAAAGCCACGTGATTTGTTTTTGCTGTCACATACTAGAAATATGTAAATTGCCATTTTGCATAATCTCCTGAATCAGTTCCTTTTCTATATTAAAATGCAGCCATAAACATTATGCGTGTCACATTACTGTAAAAAATACACAGTGAAAATGTTCAGGCAAACATATTTTCTTCGAAAATTTTGGCATAAAATCTTCCCATTGAGCATCCAGTTTTTGTTATCTCTCTTTGGAGACTTTTTTTTTTAATGAAAATTTTTTTATTATGTTTTAATGAAAGCTCCAGGCATAAGAATGAGAAAAATAATCAAACAAGTTTTTCACAGTCATGGTATTCAGTCCTGATCAAATGCTGCAGTACCAAAGGATGCAATTTATTAATGATTATTATCAAAAGAGAAGTGATATCTAATCTCATGAAATAGCTAAGGCTTAAACTGAGGTGACCGTAATGAACAACTGGGAACTACAAACACATCCCATAGGGAATGAGAGCTACCACTAATTCTAAAAGCTATCTGTGAGACAACTGGCAAACGATACTATGCACCACGCCAATGCCTGGGCTGGATAATTCTACCCCTACCTTTGAAAAAGTTCCCTTTTAAAAAGTCCCTGGTTCACACACTGATTTTACCCTAAAGCTCATTGCCCACTCCCAACTGGGAGACAACTCCTAGCCCAAAACAGATAAAATGGAGGATACCCAATCTCCGTGACAATAAACTCATCAGTTCCTCCTTCCACAGCTCAGTGAGCAAACACCAGAGCACGCAGACCTCAGAAAATGAAATTGTCTTGAATGTTCCCACTAGTTTAGGCCCATTCAGCTTTTATCACTGCAAGAAATCATGATGCTCCACTTTCTCTAGTGTTTACTCATTTTTTGTATGTTGGGTTTCTTTTTTGTCCATTAGCAGCAAAGGATAAACTATGCTCCCCCTTTCAAAGACTAGCCCTGAATAAAGTTCTCCTTCGAGTGCGTAGACAAGGAGATAAAGATAAATTGCAGGGCTGGGCACTCCAGAAGCTCCCTCGTTGTTATATTAATTCTGGCTTCTTCATTGATCTCGGGTAACTCATGGAAGTTCTGCCCCTTTAACCCCTACATCAGTAAAATGTGATTTATCTACTTGTCTTTCTTGAGATTTGTAACCAGCATGAGCCGAGACTCCTCCAAGCACTTGTACAAGTGACTTTTTGCTTTCCAATAAGCAGTCGCACAAGCGGTTTTGCCTAGGAAGGCATTAAGCACCGACAGATCTCACAGTATCTCAGGATCAGGCCGTCAAGTTGCTGAGTGCGTTCAGCGTTACGGAGAGTAGCTAAGCACTAAACATTTTGAAAGCATTTGAGATCTGCAATGAGTCACGTCCCTGCTCATATTTAAAGGAATGCTTCTCATATTCTTTATGCGTTCCACAGAAAAGAATTCAAAAGCCATAAAGATGAAAGTAGAGAAAAGCAAAAAGCATAAAATGAAGCAAAGGGACTCCAGGAAGGTGAGTGCTTCTGCAGCAGCCTCGGCTAGCATGTGTGTCTTCTTGCTTTCAGGTCCCAGTCTGTGGTGGAAGCTGGCACGCTGAAACACGAAGACCAAGGGGAAAGCGAGAACACCCAACCGCTGCTGGCTCTGGACTGAGGTCCCCCGTGCCCAGCGCACGGAGATACACCGACAGACTTCCACCCCACCAGGAACCCACAGAGCACACCACACACCCACACACACGTACGTTTTGCTTCAGAACAAGTCCTTCATGTTTCTTGACCAAGTAACAACTGCCACCAGCCATCTGTCCGTGCGGCCGACGCCAAACAAAAACTGAAAAATTTCTATTGACACAGGAGTCTGTCCATATGCAAAGAATTAATTTCTTTTTTTTTTTTTTGACCTATGACATTAAAATATTGGAAATGATGGGACTGCATTCTCTGTTTAAAGAAACCAGGGCGTGCCAATAGTTTTCCTGAAGACTCCAGCAGGGATGCTCAGTTTTACAGAAGCGCAGGTTAAGTGTGTTTTAAAGAAAAGCATCTCAAATTTAAACTCTGCACTGTAATCGGCAGTTTAACCTGGCTCAGAGGACAGAAACAGCAGCATCTACAGAGTGCTCAAGTTTTACAGAAGGATTTTGCATTAAAAAATAATAATAATAAAAAAAATCAGTGCCAGCAAAATGCCATTCAACATGACACTTTGATTGCCTCATCCATGCTGCTTATAGGGGGTCACATTTCAGTATCTAGCAAAAATTATTCTTAACTTTTGAAGCCCTTATAAAACTGTCAGCTAAGCGGAATGAGCTGTGTGGGCAGCAGACGCACATGATTTGAAATGCAATTATTTAATTTTAACGATGTGTTTTTCCACAGGCAGCTCGGGAGCCTATTAGAAATGTGCGTGAGTGTGCGCGTGTGAAGGGGGGGTACTGGGGAGACCCACCGGACACATTCACTGGTGATTGATGGTTCAATCCAGATTGTTTCATTTAGGTCACAACAGCAAATGAAAGCTCTGCGGAGCCATTTACCCCTTTCCCTCCTGCAGTCAGTGAAAGGTGTAGCCAGAAGGGTATGCTGATTGCGGACGGGGGCCATGGTTAAAATGAAAAAGGAAAACTTAGAATTAATTATTCAGAACAAACTTCTGCTAGAAGGAAATGTGGAAGAATAGAAGAACTGAAATGCCAAAGATCAGTTTGTTATTTCTCCATTTGCTCTAGCTGCAAAGACAGTCCCATCCCTTCATTGAAATGGAAACCAGATTAAAGAAATAAAAGAAAAATACTTATCAAATTGCATGTGCAGTGACTTTATTTCCCCGAACGGTTACAACCACTGTACACACCTTTAGTCTTCAATCAAATTGCCATACATTGACAATTTACTAGAACAAGCAGTTGGCAACAACATGTCAAAGGTAGCAGTGTAAACCATATACATAAAATGAGATGATAACGGGCACAAGAGGTTTTAATGTGCCTCCGACATCTGCTGAATTCAGAAGTGATACGCTGAAGTGATGATATAGTTCATTTGGACATGGTCAGCGCTAACAGATGGACTAACAAAATACTGCCGTTATCTACAACAACATTTTATGCCTGCGCAGGGCAGAAAGGACATCCCGCCAGATCCCATCAATACGCCTGGGATTTACCCGCCAGGATTTGTACAGAGTAGCCTCACTCAGACTAACCTCCTGCTGCAGCAGCATGTCGCTGGTACAAAGCCTGGCCTCCACGATCGAGAGCGAGTCTTTAAGGCGGTGGATGGTCCCAGCAAGGCAACACAGGGGTCAGAAAAAGCAGCAGAATCTTGCAGGGACATCAAACGAGTAAGATGACCGAGCCCATTTACCTTTGGGAATTCTTCCATTCCCCCTCCCCTGGCAATACCGTCTATTACAGAAAACCAGGAGGTCAGCTCCTGGGAAGAAGACACGGTTCCCTTCCCTTCCCTGGGAAGTTCACAAAGACTCACAGGCATTTGGATTTGTCACACAGAACTTGCTTAAAGCAGAAAGTAAAAAAACCAACCAAACAAAAAGAGACAGACATTGGCTATTATACTGCAGCATTAATGAAGAAATACTTTGGTTTATGATTTTTCTCTATTACTACACTTACCGCCGCTGCCACTGAATCGTTGTGACGACCTGTTACAATCACTGTTCGTTCAAAGTGGGACTTGTTCTGCCCAAGAGCTGCAAATATCACCGAAATCTAGTCCTTGAGGATTAAGCCTCGCAGAGGATTAGAATTATTTATTTTCTTTAGCTGTGACATGAATAAATGCAGTTACATACAAGGCATCATATGTACGATGCCTGTATTTAACTGTGGGATCTTATACCGACTCTGTGCTTGCAAGCAAGGTAACTACACGCAATGAGGAATCCACCTCCTAACATCGTGACGAGTACATACTGCTTTACTAACAGGAGACTATATTGCCCTTCTCTGTCATTTCCCTCTAAATAAATCTAAAGAAAAAAATATTGAAATTGCAATGGTTCTCCATTTAAAAAAACATGTCTATTCACTTCTTCCATTGGCATTCACAATGTCGAAAAGTTTTTTCAAGATGAAATACCAGTTGGCAAATAGGAATACCTAAAATAATATACCAGACATTCACTGTATCATTTCTGTAATTTGCTATACATATCTCTCTATATATCTCCTCCCCATGTATATAGCTAATCCAGTAACGGTACCGGACAAAAAGATACGCTCTCAGCTCCTTGACAGGTAGGCGTAGAGTAGATTCACTTCAGCATTGCAGGAGCTATTCATAATACCCCTTGCCATATTCAAGGCACTTAAGATTTTAAATGGCCAATATATCACTACACAATTTAATAAACAGTGCTGCTCCGGCACACACACATCGTGGGTAGATTACTTTTATCTATTTGCCAATTTTATCTATTTGCCAATCGCAATTGGAAAAGATAAAGCATGAGCCTTCAAAGGAATAATGAAACAACCCGAAGGACGGCATGGATTTTCATAAAATAAAGCTCCAAAGATTTTACCACTCCTTTAGTATTTACTCTGAGCTACAGAAACTAAAATGCAACATTAATAAAAATATTCCTAAACCACAAATTTTGATTTAAACAGTTCTTGATTCCTTCTTTACAAACTATGTCTTTATTTTAGAGAATTACAAAATAGTTTATAATTTGTACTGCTTGTTGACTTTACAAAGATACAAAATACAGCCTCTGATTAAACAACTACCAGGATATTTAAAAAAAAGTTTTACTATTTTACCCCCCCTCCCCTCCAATAACAAGTACCTTATTTCCAGTTTTGCACATGATTCTCCTAAAGCTCTCCAAAAGTATTTTTGTACTTTCTTAAGCATGAAATATAATTTTTTTCAGCTTTCATGATGATTAACTGAGAACCGTTACTTTCCTGTATATTGTGTGTAGTCTCAGTGTTACTTTTGATACGGACAACACAGTAAAGCCTAATTATCATAGCTGTCTAAAACCGACCCTGGATCAAAGAGGGTTTATCAGTTTGACAGTCAAGAAGGAAATTAAAGTGCACACCTCCAGAAAGTGGTTACACTAGTTTATGGTGCAATCACTGTGCGTTACATGGCATTACAAGATTTAATTACCTGGTAAAATACAAAAAATCTGAAAAGCATTCAGTTTATAGGAACACAAAGCTTTTATCAGTATTTTGCTTTAGCAAACATGGCATTCTGGTCACGACACTTCAGTTCTGTGCTGTAGGCTCTGCAGCACAAAACCACTGAGCATTAAACAAATAAGACGACTATGTAGTGTCTTTTGGACAACAAAGCCAAAGCTGTGGAGACTTCAGTAACCTTGGTGTCTCCTTGCTTAGTGTTTGTCTCTCATAACCCTGTGTAATTATGCCACCGCTCTTGGTGAGCCCTGAGCATCCTATCACACCCATCCACACCCAGCTGGTTTTGGGGGCGAGTAGGTAACAGCCAGCCACAAACATCAACAGTGCAACCTCCGGGCTCTTTCCTGTTAGTGTTCTTAGATGTTATCAGTGGAGGGTCCTGCACCCTCCGTCTCCAACTAAAGAGTACAGCCCCAAAGGACTGGTCAACTGCTTAAACATCCAACCAGTTTTCTTTCTTTTTACCATATAGTAAATTCCGTATGGCAAATACAGAGCGCACCGTGAACAGTACTGGGCTAAGACTACTTCGGCATGATGTCATACATTTCAAGACAAGGAAATCACCTTCAGGTCAATTAAAGGATCATTCTAACGCTCTGAAGGATGCTGGCAGCAGAAGTTAATACAAGTTAATAACCTGAAGCTCTTTGCTCTGCATTCTGGCAGGAAACCAAGTTAGACCTTGTCTTTCTGCCCAAAGCACAAGAAAGTCTTCATATATATATATTTTTTTTTTCTGCTGAATGACCACCCAAGGGCAGCCTACAAGGAGCCCCTGGAAGGAGGTGCCCCAAACCCTTGCTGGGTAGAAAACAGATATCGTAACGCAAGCTATTGTAACAATAGGAGAAACAGCACTTCACCACATAATCCTAAGAACTGTCAAGCACTTTAAGATCTGAGCCTACAGATGTCACATTTGCTTAACATCTTCCAAAATCACATTATCAAACTGAAGGTTGCCTGCTAACTAAGAGAAATATTTTGTTTTAGAAGAACAAAACTTCACTAAGCAGCTGATTAGGCAATTTCTGTTCGCATTTCCAGGAAAGCAAGAGAAGGCCACACTTGGCAAAAATGAAATCTCTCCATATATAGTGTTTTACTTCTGCTGATAGCTAGAGATGCGCTTACAGAGCTATTATTTTTTTAAAAATAGTGGTTGATTAAAGATTTGTTCATAATTATGCTAGAAAAATACAGTTACTCAGGTAGAAAAAATACAAAACACACATAACCCATTCACATTATCTACAGTTGATAACATACGGACACATTCTATACCTAAAGCAGCTTACATTACAACTGCATACTGATTTTAAAAGTTGGTTGTGTGCATATGTTTGTAAATATCTTTCATGTTGCTTCCCAGATAAAAGCCTGGGAAGAATTTCCCAGATGTAGAATCACAAATCTTGTGCCTGAACATGGTCGGGCAGGTGACTGAATGGTTTTGTACCATAATATAGGCATGGCAAAAACATCTGCACATTCCTCTGTTTGAAAATCCAGACCTACTGCTCTTTGGCTGACAAGATTTGTATTTTCAAACCTGCAGCTGGAAAAACAAGACATATCAGTGCTGTATCAGTATGAAACAAAACATGGCTTTTTTTTTTCTTCTTTTTTTCCTTTTTTTAAATCAAGTCCTCTGTGATTGCAGAATGTCGTCCTTGTCTTTTCTAGCCCTTACAATACTTGTATTCTTTGTATGTCGGATAAATGAATCCTACTTGCATACTCCAAAGCTCCTCGGAACACCTTAAATAGCAGGAAGGGTGCGTCTCTGTTGTGTCGATAACTCAGGGTGCCACACATCCACAATGAATATCAGGCGATAATTTTCAGCATCCTGCCATACTTCATGTTCGAAAGAGTCGTCAAAAATGAGAACTTTCCCTTCTTCCCAGGTTCTGTAACACAAAAAAACCCCATGCTTTAGTGTAGTATTTGAAGTGCCGCGGAGCAGGCAAGCTACATATCAGCTCTGAAGATGCTCTTTGATATACAAGAATGATTTAAACAGTATATATCGCACAGTCAGGATGTCACTACCTAATATAAAAAGTTCGGAGTATCAGAGTTTTAAATGAAATAAACTACCGAAAGATCAGTCTAATGGACTTTCATATTACTGAGGGATTGTTTCCCCTCACTCTGCATAGTCATGTCCACACACACATCCAGACATTTATAATATCTGTTATTTGTACACTTTTAATGAGTTGAGTCCAATAAGCAGGGAGCAGGTATAATATTAGTGTAGCAATCAACTTTTCTCCTGTTCTAATCAGATACATACATAATGAGTGATGGAAACCGAGGCAACGACCAGTAACATGGTCATATGGTTTAAAAACAAATTACATTAAATCAATCTGCTTTCTCTAAAAATCAGAACACCAGAAATAGGCTCTGATCATGCTTAACATTTCAGGGATGTTAACAGACTTGTCCTAAAAATCCGTTCAAAGCACCGAGTCTAAATGTTTTTCTTCAGAGTAAGGTTGCAATGCGCCGCGTACGCTGGGTTCACCACAGTGTTAAAGGAGAACTGGAAGGATGAGACCACGTAACTTAAAGCCCCTCTGCTTGCCAAGTACTGCTTAGGCAGAGCCGATCACCGAACCGACGTAAATACCCTGGGTGAGTGTTCATTACAGCAAGGAAGAGCCAAGTTTTAACAGCGGTACTTTTCCAAGATCTGTACCTTTGTTAGGCACAAAAAGGGATACGCACAATTTATTCTAAGTAGTTTGGTTTGAGCACCTCCATTGTTTGAAAAATTAATAAGATGATGAGATTTAAAAGCAGTGGCAAGAGGCAATGTAAAAGGGAGGTATTAACTGTCAGAAGAATCAGTGTTTCTGCCAATTTTATGAAGTATAGAATCACGGAATAATATAGGTTGGAAGAAACCTTGGAAGGACATCTGGTCCAAGCCTCTGCTCAGAGTAAGACTCACTGCAAAGTTAGACCCAGTTTTGAGGTTAGATGAGATATCTCAGGTTCCTGACTAGTGGATTTATGAGTATCTGCAACCACGGACATTCTGCCATTTCTTCCTCTGTTTCACCAACCTCATTGTGAAAATTTCCTTCTATCTAGATGGAATTTCCTTCACTGTCACTTGTGTCCATCACCTCTCATTCTATAACTGCACACCTCCAGAAAGAGCCTGGCTCTGTCTTCTGCACAGTCACCCATTAGGAGCTGAAGACAGTAACCAGGCTCCCCTTCTAGCCTTCTCTTTTTCAGACTCAAACCAGCTCTCTAAGCTTCTCCTCATGTGTCGCATACTCCAGTCTGCTAATCATCTTTTTCATCCTCCACTGGAGACTAGTTTCTCAGTGACTTTTTTTTGTCCTGAGGAACCCCGAACTGGACACAGTACTCCAGGGACAGTGTCTTGAGTGCAGAAGATAGGGAAAATATTGCTCCCCTCAAACGGCTTCCTACAGACTTACTAACACAATCCAGAACTGGCTAGCCCTCATCAAGACAAGAGCACGTTACGACTCAAGTTCAACTTGTCGCCTAGGACCTGCAAGTCCTTTTCTGCAAAGCTGCTTTCTGTGCAGTCATCACCCAGCCCGTACTGTTGCAAGGTGTTGATCTGTTGTTATCAGTTGCAGGGCTTTGCATTTGCCTTTGCCGAACTTCATAAAGTTTCGGCTGGCACGCTTCTCCAGCTGGCTGAGATCTAAATTCCTAATTTTGAAAAGAGATTTTGACACCTGGTTAAATGCAGTCCTGATAATGCAAAAAATCAGCAACTGATCAGCGACCGCTAGTGATAATTGCAGCAGGACAAAAGCATGCACCTGATTACACCTCTTCAGGTGAGCCTGGATGAATAAGTCGGTTGAGTCAATCATGCTCAAAGAAGCATTACCTCCTAAAGCCACCCTACAACGACCACATAATCAAGTTTTTTAACAGGATCCCTTAAGAGGTGAAGCAGTCCAAGAGGATGGATGCCCTTAAAGGGAATTAAGAACTATGAACAGCAGCAATGGTAAAGAAACAAAGGTCTTGCCATCAAAGATGGAAATCCATTGCTTAGCTCATTCACCTGCGTTCATTCACAGAGAAAACTATTTTCTTTTTTCTAAAACAGGGTGAAAATGAGATTTAGACTCCCAAGTCATCTTGGTATTTTTAATTTTTAATTCAACAAAAGCAAAAATTAACCATTAAAATTTATGGGATTGTGCTGTAATGTTCTGAAGAGAAATGGAAATTGAAATTGGATCATTTCAACTGAAATGATCATCTAAACATATTTTAAGCAAGAGTAGATAAACCAGAAAGGATTACACAGTAAAAAATTCACACTGGCTTGCACACAGACATCAGCCTTGAAGGCCCAGATAATGAGCCTTTTGCAGGTTTCACCTATGATCATGTGGTTTTTTTCTGCTAGCACGTCACTTATCTGGTAATAAAAATGTTTTATGCCATATAGACCCTGAGTCTCTGCTACCACACCAAAGTTACATCAGTACTATTCAAGTCAGTGGGAGTCAACCACTTGCAGTGCTAGAACGTCCTAAAAACTCCAGCCGACTTTGGGGTTTTTTTTTTTTGGGGGGTGGGGGTGGGGGTGGGTTTTGCTGTTTTGGGGGGAGTTTGGGGGATTTGGTTTTGGTTTTGTTTGGGCAGTATTTTGTTTCGGCTTTTTTTGTTGCTGTTTGGGGCGGTTGTAGGGTTTTGGGGGTTGGGTTTTGTGTTTGGTTGGTTTGTTTGTTTGTTAATTAATCAAGCCTGAAAAATTCTGCCCTAAATAGACTGAAAGTGCAGCTCAGGTAAGGACAATAAAAACTCCAGGCACCCAGATGAAGTAGCTTCAGGTAAACCCCAGGATCTATCATTTGCATCATCATAGGATGGGCTGTTCTACACAACAAAGAAAAAGTCATAAAGTCAGCAGAACTATTAGCCCCAGTTGGAATAGATTACAAACCCCACCATTAGCATGCAGACAAATATTTTCTAGAAACCTTCACGGTGTGAGAAACACTTCCCAGTGGGACCATAGGGACAATATTACTCTGGTCTGGTGCTGAGCCACTCTGGGGCAGTTTCTATATCACCTGCACGGCTCTAGCGTCACTTTTACAGGTGAGATCTTGGGACTGGCTTCTGCATAAGGCTGTAATTTCAAAACATGATTACCTCGTCTGACAGACATGTTCGATTTTGATAACTAGATATTATTTACCGACCATTTTTGTGAATTGTACCCTACACTTTACAAGGCTGGGACTTCAAAATGGCCCAACGACCTAAAATTACTATAGCTGTACTGAGTAACAAGGAGGTGTACCAGCTCCGAGCAGCTGTAAGAAGACTCTCCTGCAGGTGAAGGAGTGAAACACAGTAGTAGACAGAGCTGAAAAATTCTCATTGTTTCTGTTCTCTCTCTCATACACACCCAGCAGTGGGACAGGAGGCCAGAAAAGGCCTGACCTACGCTAACCTTCACGTTTGAGCCAGCTCTCCTATTTGAAACCACCTCTCTGAATCACCAGGAGGGGTGGAATGGAAAATGTCCAGGGTAGGATTTCCTCCTGGCACCATTCCCTTCCACAGTAGTTCACCCACCTCCTCTTTCGTGGGGGAAAGGACGTAAAAAACCCCTTTCATTGCCAGCAGTAGACACACTTTCAATGCTTTCAGGGAAAATCCTGTCTTTGATTCTGAATGTATAGCCCTTGCCAAAAGCAACTAAAGGGAACACATTCCAGCACAGGCTGTAGTCAGCTCTTGAACGTTTTACATTTCAAATGAGCGAGTCCGATGCACAAAACTGAGCCAAACTCAGGAGCCGGGACACTGAAGTGCTCCGTCTGCAGTGTAGCAGCGTTTCTCCACTCTTGACTTTAAGGGAGTGCTGCTACCAAGGAGGTGGTGAAGTTCACTTTTCACAGGACTATCCCTTCTGTTCGAGTGAAGACCAAGAAGGGTGCCAGCGCTAATAACGGGTGGTGAGCTGCGGACACCTCCTCTCTTGGCAGCAGATCAAAGCCACACCACTTTGTTCACACAAACAGCCACCTAATGCCAATGCCATTCAGGTACCACCAATCCAAATTCACAGTAATGTCCTAAAGTGAAAAGGCTGCCTGTCTCTCTATTAGTCCTCTAAGCCCGTTAGCTACCTCTCCCTCCACCCAACTTATTTTGGATATCGGATTGGAATGCTGGAAGCAAATGCCCATCACTACCTAGAGGTAGGTAGTGTAGATTGTAACACTGACTGCGACAGATGATTAAATAAGCTATATGTTGGCAGGAGTCTACAGTGACAACATTTTGGGTTACTAACAGTTGGATACTTCTATCCTCAAAAATTGTAAACATTTCTTGCTGTAGTTGTTTTCAAATGTTACATAAAAAAAATCTTTCCCGCATATTGCTGTCATGCAGACAGGAGTTGCATTTCACTTCTCAATGTCAAATAAATCTCTACGTTACTACCACGAAAAGAATTCAAAATTAATGCTTGTTGCACTCAGATGCTGCAGACAAGACACAGAATCTTCCAAAAACATACATATAGATACCAAGCATCATTAGGATTTCACATAAGTCTCAGAAAATTAAGTCTGTACACAAAAAGCAATATAGCTAATACCGTATTTTTCTGTGTTTAATAATATCATGCAAAAACTTAACATATTTTCTCATATTTCCCAGGAGAGTATATGCCTTGATTGTAAATGTATAAGCTATCGCATTTTATTTTGCTTTTTGCACTGAGTAAATAGAAAGAAAACTGGTCTTCAAGCCATCGTAATTTTTCCCTAAAGGGTAAGAGTTCTTACTTAAAAACCACTTTAAAGAAATTTGCTACCTGTGTAACTCATTAGGCCAAACCCTTCATAGATGTCTGTCGTGAAATCTACCTCAACTGGAATATTTTTAATCGAATTACAACACATAATACCAGTCAGGAAGGAAGTTTCTGCCAGAAATACAAGAGTATTCTATCATGGTGGTGAAAATGGAGGTACAGCTTATTTGTAGCTTTTGCTGAATAAGCAATGAATTTTAAGTCCCCTCAAAATCAAAACAAATAGAGAAACTCTGCTGGCAACTGTATTAGACCGGCATTGTAAAAGCAAACACAGGAGGCTCCGTGGACAAAACCCACTGTTATTTCCATGCCATAGCAGAGAAGAGCAGCTTTGTCTCCAAAGATTCCTCTGGCATTGTTTGAGAACCGATATTTGCACCTTTGTACCACAAGTTAGGGTCCAAATTGCCTGTTTAGCAAAATACATTACACCTCCTGATCAGTAAAACACCCCATTTTTTTTTTTTAATAACATGCAGTCCCACCTCATTTTCAGCCTTGAGGAAGGTAGAAATAAAACCTCAAACCCCCCAACCATACCTGTTCTCTTGGGCACACCGAATTCTGCAGCCTTCCTTAGGTATCACCAAGCCCAAATGCATCCTCAGCCGACAATTGGTGGGCCCCGTGTGGGGCCAGACATGAGTCCCCGGGTGCATGACAGAATATTTGATCTGGAAGAAGAGAAAGGCAGGCCTTCAACACGTTCAGCTTCACAGCCATCCTGCTAGGAGTTCAGGACTTCATTACGGCTCATCCTTGATGACGGGCCAAAAGTGCAATGTCACCTTTTGTTACAGTCTCAGCGACAATTGCACTTTCTCACTTCTAAAGGAGTTCGATACTACAAAACCCATGTCTTGTGGGGTGTGTGTGCATCCAGGGGTACGTGTGTAAAAGTAAATATTTTTCATTTTGCTTAAAAAAAACCCACAGTATTCATATTTCAATCTGAAAATAATTATCTCCTACCTACAATTAGAAAAACACCTTCTTTCCTGTGGAAAGACATACAGACGCTCTCATCATTTAAAAGGATGGGCCACTGGAGACATAAGGCCTGAGTGACCAGCCCCTCTCTGATGACAACATGGCTGTGAAGGTCACCGTCAGCCTTGGCTGGATGAACCATGGTGGAGTTCAGGATCATGACAGGAAGGAGAAAGGCAAAAAGCAGGATTACTACCAAGAGCTTCAGGAGAGCAGACTTGGGCTTATTCAGGGATGCGCTGGGAAAAACCCCATGAGATAACAGTGCTGGAGAGAAGAGGGGTCTAGGGTAGCCAGTTGATTTTTAAATATCACCTTGTCCAAGCTCAAGAACGGTTCATCCCCATGTGCAGGAAGCATGGCAACCCAGACAAAACTGAAACACAAACAAGAAGCATACAAGAGGTAGAAGCAGGGTCAGGTTGCCCAGGAAGACTGTAGAGACACTCTCTGAGCATGCAGGGATGAGCTTAGGGAAGTCAAAGCTCTCCTGGTGTTGAATCTGGAGATGGACATGAAGGGCAACAAGAAAGGTTTCTACAAATACACCATCAGTGAGACGTCTAGGGAAAACATGGGCCTGCTGCTAAATGTGGCAGGAGATCTGATGACAAAGGACACGGAAAAGGCTGAGGCACTACATGCTGCCTTTGCCTCAATCTTTACTGGTATGACTGACCTTCAGGATTCCCAGGCACTTGAGACCGGTGGGAAAGACTGGAGCAAAGACAACAGACCTTCAGTGGGGAAGGGTCAGGTTAGGGAACATTTAAACAAACTGGTCCATGGGTCCTGACGGGATCCACCCATGAGCGCTGAGGGAGCTGGCCAAAGTTGTGAATCCACAGTCAATAATCTCTGAAAGGTCACGGCAATCAGCAGAAGTCCCTGAGGACCGGCAGAAAGCAAATGTTGTTCCAATCTTCAAGAAGGGTAAGGAGGAGGATCTGAGGAACTACAGGCTAGTCAGCCTCACCTCGATCCCTGGGCAAGTGATGGAGCAAGTAATTCTGGAAACCATTTCCAAACACATGAAGGAAAAGAAGGTGACTGGGAGCAGTCAGCATGGATTTACGAAGGGGAAATTGTACTTTACCAGCTTTCTATGGTGAGATGTCTAACTTGGTGGATGAGGGGAAATACGTAGATACTGTTTATCTCAACTTTAGTAAGACTTTCAAGACTGTCTGCCATAAACATCCTCATTGACCAACTGATGAACTAGAAACCAGGTAAGCTGACAGTGAGGTGGATTGAAAACTGGCAGTTCAGCCAGGCTTAAAGAGTTGTGATCAGAGGCACGAAGTCTGGCTGGAGGCCACTCATCAGAGGTGTACCCCAGGGCTCAGTACTGGGTCCAACACTGTTTAATAGCTTCACAAATGACTCGGACGATGGGACAGAGTGCATCTCCCTCAGCAAGTTTGCAGATGGTAGAAAATTGGAGAGGAACAGCTGATACACTATTTTTTTTTTTTTGCTACCATTCATAGGGACCTTGGCAGGCTGGAGAAAGGAACAAACGGGAATCTTGTGGTATTCATCCAAGTGTAAAGTTCTGCACTGGGGAGAAATAACCCCATGTACCAATACAGGCTGGGGGACAACTGTCTGGACAGCAACTTCCCAGAAAAAGACTGGGGTCCTCACAGACAACAATTTGAACAGCAGCCAGCAATGTGGCCTTGCAGCAAAGATGGCCAACAGTCTCCAGGGTCGCATTAGGGAGAGCTTTGGGAGCAGGTTGAGATCCTTCCCTTCTGCTCAGAGTGGGTGAGACTTCTCGAGTGCTGGGTCCAGTTCTGTGTTACCTACTCTGACAGAGACATGGCCACATCGGAGCAAGTCTACTGAAGGGCTATAAAGGTGATACAGGGATTGGAGCATCTGACATACATGGGGAGGCTGAAAGAGCTGGGACTGCTCAGCCAGGAGAACAGAAAGCCCAAGGGGGGACCTTATCAATGTATATAAATACCTGATGGCAGGAGTGAAGAAGACAGAGGTAGGCTCTTCTCAACAGTATCCAGTGAAAGGCAAAGAAGCAATGGACACAGAGTGAAATACAGGAAACTTCATTTAAACGTAAGAAAACACTTTTTTACTGTGCACTGGAACAGATTGCCCAGAGAGGCTGTAGGGTCTCTATCCTTAGAGGCATTCAAAACCTGACTGGACACAGTCCTGAGCAGCCTGCTCTAGTGCATCATGCTTTGAGCAAGGGGTTGGACTAGGTAATCTCCAGACGCCTCTTCTCACCTCAACCTTTCTGTGATTCTACAACAACCCAACGAACACGAAGTGTGAATAATGCATGACACTGGTGAGAAGCACCTTTCCAACTGAGAAATCCGTACATCTGGCTGGGATAGGGTAACTTTGATAAATCTTAGGGTTTAAGGTATTGCTTGCTCTCAACTGTAGCAAAATCAGCAGAAGAGAGTGTATGTCTAATGCCTTAGCCATTCCCACCATCTCAGGTTTCCGCTTACCAGCAGTTTCATACGACAGCAAGTGATAAGGTCCAGTGGCCATGGCAAACACAGATGCTCCAACCCACCACCTCAGCTACACCGAGATACGTTAAACTTGATTGCCCTGTCAGACCCTAATGCAATGCAAATAACTGGCTACGCAGGATAGTTATTAATATCCCAGAGAAACAAATTTTTTAATGTTAATATACCAGCACTGCGGAATGATTACTGCTGCGTATGTTATCTGTTCACACAGATCAGTCTAGATATATCTATGAATTACATGTATGCGCTGTATTCAAGCACTACATATAAATAGTCCTGAACTACCAGTGAGTTATACTATGGTTGTAATGTAAAACTCTGAAGAGTTAAGAAATGCCCAGAATTAAAACCACCGACGCTACTCTTAGTTTATTGCTCTTTTTAAGAAGAATGGTGCCATTTTTAATAATATGATCGCTTGCTATTACTCTACACAGTCCCTCAGCAGCACTGAGCAGGTAGTTAATTATTTTACATTTCTTATCTTTCTCAATTCATGAGATGCCCAAAGCATCCAAACGGTCTATCTACCACAGAATTCCTAATTTCCTGATTGTGTTTGTTTCCATTGCTTCCATGTGCTTCAGTACGTGAATAGACATTAGGTGATATTTTACATTTAATTTACCAGTAAGAATCTGAAGCACAGCTAGCATAATCAAAATTGTCCTATACATCCCCTAGTATTGGATGTAAAACGTAAAGAGTTCTAGAGCACCATTTTTTCAGATTATTTTACATTTTATATGTTCAAAACACATGACTACATAGCTGTAAATACATAATATTTCCGCAAACCATATGCTGGTGATAACATCTGGGGTGCCAAAAAAAGATGAACAAAACAGTAGTGCTCCAAAAAAACTTTGCTCCCTGGGATAGATCCATTTCCGCTGTGGATGCCACAGAAAGCAGTTTTCTTGCTATTAGTCACACTGAGCATGATGACCTCTCTCATCAGTTATATTCACTACAACCAGCTTTTGCAACAAATCAGTGAAACAATAGCCTTGTTCATTCCCACAGCAGTAGCCATCTAGTGCACTTCTGCACATCAAAAGCAAGGCTCTGATGAAAAAGCTGAACACCTACTCTCAAGGCTCTGAATTTGGATTATGCTAGCACTGTGTTTTCCAACTCTTGCATCCTTAATTATGCAACATGAAGGTTATTGCCATGTAGTCATTACAGATAAAATATAATAACTTAAAAAAGAAAAAAAGAATAATGAAAAATTCTGTCCTGCAGAATCACACGATATCTGTGTTGGGCCATACATTTTGCTGCGTATGTATTGCTCCACACCACATACGTCTACTGCATGATTTAATGAGGTTAATTTGTAGCTGAGTAGTCAGTGTAGACCAGGCACTTGAAACAAACTTTGTTGGCACTCAAGGTCATGGCTCAAGGATGTACAATTGCCTTCCTTAACCTTTAGGAAAGAAGCAGGTGACAGCAGTACTGTTGTTTGGCCCCCGTGAGGTCATTCTTCTGTCTAATGCAGTCAGGCTGGTGGAGGTGGCTGAAGTTTATCACAGTGAGCTCGCTGAAGTCGTCTTGTAAAGTTCAGATGAGTAATTATAGGAAAATTCAGGTTAGAAAGGACCTAATCCACCTGCTGCTCAAAGCAGGGTTAGCTGTGAGTCAGACCAGGTCACTTAGGGCTAAGGTTTAGCACATTCTTACTTATTGGTTGACCCATGGCAAATAACTACTCACCTACCACAAGCTCCCAGTGAACACAAGGTAAAACAGCTCAAACTAAAGATTCCATAGAAAAGTTTCAGCTAACATACTTACACCTTGTATTTGCTGAGGGCTAGAAGTGGGCATACTTTTACCGTTACCTTCATTGTGTGCTTGAGGCATCATTAAATACACCGAGGTCATTGCATCCCTCTATACACATTCCTCAAAAATCACCTGCTCCCAGCACCAGGAATTTGCAAAAATGAAGCGGTTTGTCAGGTACCTGCCCTCTTCTGCAGCCAGTAGCTTCCGGGAATCTTTCCAATAAAGCACATGTTTTCGGAACACTTTTACAAGCATTCTCATTTTTTCTTCCTAGCGAAAATAATGGATAGAGCATTGGTAAGAGCAATGAACAAACATTTCCTTGTCTTCTGCTTTGCAGAAGAGCAAATAAGCTGTCAAAGAGCTGCAAGGAAAGACAGGTAAACATTATTATTCCCATTTTGCAGACTGTGAAACAGAAGTACTTAGACATTGTCATATCAGAGCCGCCTGCCCATCTTTGCTTTTAAATTATTTGTGAAGACCAGGCTTTCTACCATTTTTTAAACACGATTCCAAAAGTACAATCATCAATGAGGCTGCATAGAAAAAAAAAAAAAAAAAAGATGAAAAATGCCACCAACATCATACCATTTCAACACCAGATTGTATTTTGATATAAGTCGCTTTTCATATTTTATTTTACAGTACTGTTTCATATGCAGAGTATTGTAAGAATTGAAGGTCATGCCAATAGCTGGGCCTGCCACTGCCCGGCTCAGGGACGGGGCAGGAGGCTTATTAAAGCTGTGTTCTTCTGCTCATACCATTTCTGAATGACATCTCTCACCCAGCTAACACCACAATATTGATGACGTGCCTTCTCCCACATTCCTGTTTTCCTCCAGGCTGGTCTGTACTACACATTACCACGCAAAATGTGGGCAGCCCTGCCAGAAGAGGAGTATTACCCTCAAGGGATTCTAAGAAGTGCTTGGGGACAACACGATTTAGAATAAAAGAACTCTTGTTGACTGTTGCAGGAGTCCCAGACACTATTTTATTAGTTTCCTTCTTCTGTAGATTCCGTGATTACAAAAACAGTTCTGGAAAAAACTGTGTTGCCACTCCTTACTACACTATCTTAATCTGAGAAAGTGAAATTGGGGAAAGAGAAGAAATACAAAATATTTTACCTTGTTGCCATAAGGTAAACTGGCTCCAGTCTCCTTTTTCTCGTAGATTCTCATCTTCAGGCAGGAAGAGGCTTCTTTTTTTATCCATCACAGCAAGTCCTTCATCCCGAATGAGCTTCCAGTTTTTTTCTAAGGACTGTTGAGAGCCATGTTACTGCACTGAGAACTTACTGCGTTTGGCCTTAAGTACCGTTTTTATTCTTCCCTGCCATTATTAACTCTTTTTTAATTTAAAAGCACTAAAGAAGCGTTCATCATCATTATCAAGTTTCTTCATATTCAATTCCCTTCTGACACATTAAAGGCAGGAAAAACAACTTTCACAGCACTCCTCAGATTCAATTACATTGAGATGGTAAAATTTCAATAATCTCCAGCTTCTTTGCAGACTAGGCCGCACTGTGACTTGCTTTTTGATTAGCCTAAGGGTCCTTTAAGAGATCATTTTGTATTGCAAGCTAAAAAGCGTACTGATCTTCTTAAATGCCGCACACGTTACCTGGAAGCACTCCTGCAACTAGAAAACCACTCACGTAACCTGGAACTCCAGGCGCTGGCAGAGCATTAGGGTTCAAAGAGGACAAATGTAAATACACCACTTAAGTTGAAAGTTATGATTTAAACCTTCAAAAAGGTTTGCAGAGATTCACTTGCACATGCTGATGCTATTGAAAAAGATCAAATACAACTTGAAATGTCAGGTGATGATTTATGGACACAACCATTAAAAATGTGTAAGCTGCCTCGTACTTCGTACATACCAAAACCACAACATAGAAGAACTAAAATTTCTGTTCCCTGCTGCCTTCTGATATTACATTTGTAAAAATCAGACAGATTAGAAAACCTTTTATTCTACCAATAATGAGTCATTTTAATGTTATAGCAACATAAATGAAAAAGCCACAGTGTAACAATGGATCCGGATAAAAGTAACTTCCATTCCTCAGCCGCTTACTTTGCTCACTAAACCTTATTTTGGGCGAATAGTTTTCATTTTTCCTTTGTGCCCTTGAACAAAGCATTTCTGTAAGACATTTTCAATCAATTTCACACTGAAAACAGGCTAAGGTGTGTTCCCACACTACTTCTTTATATGATGTGTAAAGCTGACTAAAACTCCAAAGATCAGACTAGGTGATATAACTGCCCCTTTTTAGCCTTAAAACTCCATATGGTTATTAGCCTTCCCCATGTAAATTAAACAGTTGCATTTTCCACTTGAGTTTTTTCAATGAAGAGACAAGCTGATCCCACAAAATAGGTTGTATGTTGATATAAGAGGCTAGAACATGCTGTCTATAATACAGCGACTTTCTCCCACTAGAACATTTTTAGGTAGGCTAAGACCTATGAAAATGAGGATTGCAATTCTGTTAATACCATCATCTCTTCTTTTTCGTAGCAAATTGTTTTCTCTCTCATCCATCAGTAAAGGGAAACAGCACTTATTTTTCCTGGTGCATTCACCTTATTCTCTCCCACCAATGGGTTTCATAACACTCATTTAACAGTTAACATTAAGTAGAAATGTATTTTTTAGAGTATCTTTGGAAAATTGACTTTTTCAAAATGCAGAGTACAAAACAGACTGAAAATTTCCACCTAATCAGAGACGAATATGGGAACAGTGCTGGCACTGATTCAGCACTACCATATCTACAAAAGGAAACACCAGCTTGAGTACCCGATTTTAGCACTGGCTGGAGAAGAGAAAGAAAAGAATAACTTACACTTACACTGACCTCAATTCAAAGCGATACAGATCAACAAAATTGGGAAACTTTAAAAGACTTTACAAGTGCTTCTCTGTTTCCTCAAACTCCTCCTACTCCCTCATCTGAAAAAAGGTAAGAGGGAGCATTCACCCATGCAGAGAAGATGATGCACGAGAAGCACTTGTGGTCCAAGGAGTTGCAGACAACGGCTGCTTTGTCACCTCTAATCCTTCACAAGTGCCACAGGTTGAAAGGTAACCTGCAAAGGTGGGTGTTTGTCCTTGTCTTTTAAGGCTCCTTCTCCAACATGTTGGATATGAAGTGATTTCAATATATGTCATTGATTTTGAACTAACTCCTTAATGGTTTTAGACATAACTTGCCCTGAAATCAGTAGCGTCTCTGTACTCCTGAAACCCTGGACCTCATCTATAAAACCCACTGATAGTGCTTTACTATGAGTAATAGGTAACTCCTAGGTAGAAATCAAGTGGGGAGTTCAAACACAGATCAGCCTTGGTCTCCCTGGTTTTACAGACTCTTAGGCATACCTTGAATGGTAAGAACGCAAAACATCATTAAAACATAATGACCAAGTCCAGGACTTGGACTTACAGCTCTCTATCCAAGAGGTGGTATCTGCAGAAAAAAATTAAATACGCTTATGCCCCATGATATGTAGAGATTTAAGCCTCAGGTTAGAGCAACAAATTTGTAATATATTTGGTGCAATATCCTGATTCCAAGTGAAGAATCAGGTGGTGACCAGCATTGGGAGCATATGTACTTGTTTCCTAGCAGCTGATTCCCATAAACCTCCATATGGCTTTTTAAATACAGTTCCTAACAATAATGGAAGTTTACAACTGCTTTACATCTGGCAATAGTGTAGATTTTATTGGCAAAGACATTACTATATTTAAATAGGGATTTCTTAATATTGGTTTATTTTTATGTGTGACTATTATATTAAAAGTATCCTTTGTGCAGTCAAACCATTTCAAAGCGCGGTCATAAATGAAACAGGCAGAGATTAAGAGGTTACTGCCCGTCATGTGAGGCATAACTACTGACCACGTGTCCATTTTAATCTATTGGACTATAAAATAAAACCATGGTGAAGACTTCAATATATTCCACTTTGTTACTGAAATAGAGTTGGAGAGTATTCAGGGTCAGTTACTGCGACTCTGCTGGGCAATGCTGACGACCTCCAAGTAAGGGGCAGTAATTTAAACCTTTCAAAATAGATTCCTTGCACCCATTCGGTCACTCACAGTGCTTAAATATCAGCACTTGTATGCATCATCTCTGCTCTTTTCAACACAAGGCTCCCCTTAAAGCATCGAGCCACACTTTAAATGCACATTACAATTTAATTTCTCTATTAAATATGAACATTTAGCTATTATTAGCTAAACCATTAAGCCCTAGCTGTCACTCTACAGAAAACATTATGGATATGTGCTGTTGCCAGTACTTTCATTCTCTTTCTGAGCTCTTCCTGCTGCACTTGAAACTTTTAATAAAATCTAAGCCATCAGCGAAAACTGACAATACAAGATCTACTCTAATCAATCAGCTATTCACTGTAGTACGTTATTGGCAAAGCATCCTCTGGGTCCTTTCCAGAAGTCAAAGGACACAACGTGAGGAAAGGACAAAGTTACTTAGGTCATTACCTATGTATTCATTTCAGACTAGTTAAGTGTCTCTAGGATCCAATATCATTGTACCTCTTTTATTATTTTTTTAAATGAGCACCATAATAGAATAATGCTATACTGAGGTTCTACAAAAGGTGCCAGAGAACGATGCAATGACTCAGTAAGGCTGGCCGAGGAAAGCTAATTATCCCAAGGGAAGAGGACAGCTTTTCAAAGATAAAAGTAAGGCTTCCTTCTAGCTGAGCTCAAACAAGAAAGCAAGCTTCTTGAATCTCCAGATCCAAAGGCCTGAAATACTGTAGATCAGAAACACCAGCAGAACATTTCTACCTAAATCACTTGACACACGCTTCCTAATCTAAAGGTTTATATTTTCTGCTCCCCAAGAAATCAGGTGCCCCTTCCTGTCCTTTCAAGGAAAGTACAAAAAACTTAATAAGCCTTAATGGGCCGCAGCTAGAGAGACGCAAAGATCCACTTCCCTTCAGCACAGTACCACTAACCAAGATTTACCACCACCATACACGTCCCGATCAGTGTCACCGAGATATTCTCAGTCTTCCCCATCCCCCCCAAAAACAACCAACCGCAAACCCTCTTCCTTAAGACATCCAGGCAAGCAAGTAATAGGGAAGTATGTAAAATGTGAGATTGTCTTCTTTAATCTTACCCATCAGGCAGTTGAACCTCAGGCCTAAATTAGTTGTCTAGGCTTCATTTTTTAGTAAAGCAGTAGGGAAGTTAACACCAGAAAGAGAGACATGCCATCTTAGACAGTTATTTAACACAGTAAAAATGAATCATCCTCTGGAAATACGTCCTTTTTGACCTGTAAATGAGACCACTAGCGTGGACAATCTGCCTTGCATCCGTAGGACTACAGTTAGGTGAGCAGAATGGCCCTCAGGAGGAATTTATTAAACTGAGAATACTGAAAAAGAGACAACTTTTTCTTCAGCTTTCGGTGGGAAGATCAAGGCACTGTCAAAATTCACAGCTCCATCTCTAGTCCCAAGGAACTACACGACTTTTATAACAAAATCAAGCCAGGTCTGTGCTATGAGATGCTACTGACCACAGCTGTGGCAGTCAACAGAATGAACCAAAAAGAGCTGCCAGAGAGTCTGGCTTTAGTAGTGCCTCAGTTAGCCACGAATAAATCCTCAGTTAGCACTGTTAAGCTACCAAGATATTGAAAATAGTTCGTTCACATTTAACAACAAGCAGTTAATGACAGGGAGAGAGGGTCAGGGCCTCCAGCGCTTCATACAGCAGCTTTCCATGTCAAATGCTGTCACCGGGATTTGGTAGCATTTCCCACACATCCCGCACAGATGTAAGAGGAATGTAATGAGACAAAGCAGTCAGAAATAACTACTGATTGGTTTTTGCTCTGTGGAATAGGGAATTTTATTTTTTTTTAACTAAAACGTGCAGAAGTTGGAATATTTCAGAAATGAATAAAACCAACGTCTTCAATGATTTTTTGCCACTTTCTCGGATATACGACTTCAAATTTTGCTTGCAGCATCACATGCTATTACAATCAAACCCGCTTTCTTTCAAAACTTCAAGCACTTTCCTGAGTTATGGGGGAAACAACAATACAAATATTTTTCCTGCTCATGCATTTAACTTACATTTTGGGTTTATACTTTCAACTGTGACTGTTACCTTGAAGAATGTGAATCTTACCACCCTCAAATTATGATACCTATGTAAGCAAACTAGCAGCCACAATTTAGCGCACATTCAATGACATATTACTAATAAAACAGCTAAAATATCTACCACCAAATACTGGATTGAAGAGGCACGACTGCATTTCAGAGAGGCAGCTGTGCTGTGGAGGTCAGGGGTGAATGTCTGTCCTTGTTGGACTTCTGAACGGCTCTTCTAGGAGCCATGCAGGATGCTGATCCAAACCATATGGGCTGATCCATCTGAAAAAAAATCCCTTCAAGGTGGAGCCCCAGCTATTTTATAACAGGAAACTGAATTCTTTCACCCTTCAAAGCTGACTCGTCTCCTCACCCTAAAGGTGAAGGGACCGCTGCCTTCCGTGACTTAGCAATTCGCATGGGTTACATGTAAGAGACTGTAAAACATCACTGCAGATAGCTCTACATCACTAAAATAATATATATTCTTTCCTTTTTGTTTGGCAAAAGCATGATACGTTCCCAGTTTCTCCATCTCTTCTATAGCAAGAAGTATCTATTCCTACACATACCTCAAGAATGAGTTCAATACATGAGCATTTCAGATCTTCCCAAACGCTCGTCCATATGGCTAATTGCTTTTTTGTGTGACTAAGATTACACTGGAGAATCACACTTTAATCTAAATTTCCTAGCCTTATTCATACTGCCATCGAAACCATAAGAAAGAGTAATCTTCCTTTTTAAAATTCTTTTTAAAAATAAAATCATCCTTTCATAGTAGGCTTTTTCACATGCTATGTAACTAAGTATAAAGAAACAACTGCTCTGAAGGAACTTGTCTCTTGCAAATAAACATTTATGTTTTTAAATTATTTGTGCAGAATAATTTTGCTAAACCACATACCAATATTTAGAACATCCAAGGGAAAAAAAGGTTCTTCCTCCCTTTTTTATTTTTAAACTTTTAAAAATTATTAAAATTAAACCAACATAATAAAAATCATGCAATTTTGGAAACACAAACTGTTATTATGAATAATAACCAGACTACTTGCCTTGCATTAAATAAAAACAGAACTTTAAAGAACTTGAATGTTATGTTGCTATCTTTTGTTAAATCCATCACTGGCAATCAATGCTTGTTTCTCTTAAGCTTCCAAAGAAGTCACTGGGTATTACACAAGGGATAAAATACATAGCCTTTCCCGACTAATTAAAAATTCACAACGGATGCCCCAGACATTACCAGAATTTGTTGTCATTTTGCACTTGAGACATTACGGTTGTCTACCATGCAAACATTGTATTTATTAATCATTTCAGCCATCCTGTCCCCATTCTCAATTTTGAAAATGCCTGAGCTCATTTTATAGTATGTTAGTTAAATCCTGTGCTCAGTCTGAGATTGGTGTCTGGCACTCGCAGGCAGTGATTCAGACCTTACAGATTAGCATTTTCCCTGCTTAATACCTTAGATTATAGTTGTTATTAAAAACAATAAATCAAAATATACAGAAACAAACTCCCTTACCTTCACCAGTTCCGTATAACCAGTTTCCTTCGCTGTCCACCAAGGCTGAGCTTTCAGTCCCTTGACATTGTAGAGGGAGCGCTGCCAAACTGATGCAAAGTGACCTCTCTGGTACCCGAGCTCATACCACTTGTATGCCTAAAAGATCGCAGTCGTTAACATCCAAATTCATATCAGCCAAGCTCCCACAGAAAAAAAGTAACACGCTTTTTTGATAAAGTAACAGACTGTCTCTTTGGATGTTGGGGTTATTCTTCTAACGTAATGTAGTAACAAACATTTTAAGGAAAAAAAAACAAAACCAAACCATAGCCAACCCCACCCCCTTAATCCCAAAATAGATCAGTCGGCCAAGGCTGTCCAACCCAACATTAGCAAAACAGGATCATCTTCTCACAACCATTCACACCAAATATGGGTCAGTAATCTAGGCGCTATCCTAGGACTTGGGAGATCCAATTCTTCCTCATCTTGGTCAACCTTGTTTCCTCTGTTTCAATTCTCTACCTATGAATTAAAGATGACTGCTTTCTGCTGCCACTGGAGATGTTTTCATCCTCACAGCACTGCTGACACTGTGGATCTCAATTGTTACTTAATTACCTAATACATATATGCACTTGAGTTTCTTCAAATATTTGTTGCCACGCATGGTAGAAACTAGATCTTTTACTAGGTCTTACTCTTCCTTTCCACAACTTGCTTTACCCTTCTATAGCAGCAAAGCAAGGTCCTGCAAAGGAAGAAAATGGGATATTTGGAAAGAAAAGATCCAGCATGAGTGGCACTGTGACGAACCATATACAGAGCCAGTTACATATAGCTGCCTCCTTCCTATCCATCATTGCTGCTACAGCTGCAGTATTTCAGACAACAACAACAAAGGATATGACAGGACAGCTAAGTAGGGAGGTATGAGGATAAGAAGTCCAGAGCAGAGGGACTGAAGCTGGCAGCAATCCCTGCCTTGAATAGGAACTATCCAAAATCCTTGTCACCTGGAGTCGGGCACAGGGTCCCTCTCTAGCTACAACGCTTGAAATTTGCTCCCTCTCAAGCCTGCAACCTATCTAATTCACCTCCACCTAGGCGTCACTCATCCAAACTTGGACCGTGTTCTCTCACTCCTTCACCCAACCTGATACCTGTTCTCATCTCACTCTACATAAAACAGCCTATAATTTCACCCTTGTGCTTCCAGTCCATAATACTCCCCCCACACCTTGCCGCTGGCCACCTTCCCTGGCTGTACCCACCTCCTTGCCAAGTTCTCCTCAAAAAACCCAAAACCTCCACTTTTCTTCCCAGCAGGAGTACAGAAAATCCGGACAAGACAAACACTGTCCCCAGTAGCATTCTGGTACGGTAGTTTCCCTGCATGACTAAGTATTTTAATTGTGATTGATTTTTTCAAAGACAGTCATTTCTCCTATTTTAACTCATGAGCATATGACAGCTGTCCATTAATCTGCCCACATTTGAGCTGAAGGCTAAACCAAAAGACTTATTGAGACAAAATCCACAGTACCAACTCTTAAGCTAAAGAAGAACCATTTTATGTATGGGGTCTAATGGAAAGCAAAACATACAATCAAATAAACACATCTCTAGGACAACAATTCATGTCAGCTTATTATTTATGTTTACCTTGAAGCCAGTAAACTAGAAGGAAAAATAAAACATTTTTGGATACAAATTGGCCACAAGAACAGTGTGTGACTTACTAAGACTTACAAAAAGCTATTGGAAATTCTTCATGTAAGGGATTATTTCTAAAAATTTCCAGGTGTCATCTCAGAGATCTTCTATTTCAGATACAAGGTAAGAAACTACTTGGGGTGGTTTTGTTTTCAAATTTTTTATGTAACTTTTTGTATTGTAACCATAGATTATTTTTTGGGAGTCCGCAAATTTTCTTCAAGCTTTTAAAACATGTGGTCCTCTGATCTTCATAACTCTCTTGAAGTGTGAAGGAAAGGCTGCAATAGGAAGTTGCCTTACAATATTTATCTGAAGTACAGAAATGCAGCATGGATGAACAGAATAACAACAAACCATATATAAGCTTTCATCTTTCTTTCCTAGAGAAGTTCTGTAAAATCGTGAATGGGTCAAAAAAAAACCCAAACAGTATTACCTTTGGGTATACACAGTAAATCTCTAAATTTTGATGTTATCTTGGTTAAGTCTCTGAAATGGAAGCATTATGATTGATAACGTCTATTCCCCAAGATGTAAGTTGTAATAGCAGCGGGATATCAATAGATTGCTCATGCCGACTGCCTGCATCCTTTTGCAATGCCAGGAGTTAGCCCAAATGATAAGGGGGATGAATTACTTGTTTCAGCCACTGATTGAGGAGTATGAATGTTGCTGTTCTTTAAGATCCATCATCTATAATCACGATGTATAATACTGTTAATCTTTATCTATTAGAAGAATTGTGCAATGAGGTTGCCTTTGACGCTATGGAGCAGGGTTAGGTTGCCTCACTCATCCTTTCTAGTCCTGAGTTTCCATGAGAAACCTTTCTTTTCTCACGCAGATCTTGGCAGGGGAAAAACTGAATAATGACTACTGTAGTATTCGGGAGAGCTACAACACTGTATCTTCTTTTCCAGGAAAGAAATTGTTTGAGATGCACTCAGTTTATACATTCTGTGTGAACAGCACTTTGCTCTGTAATACCTTCCACAGTTTTAAGCTATCTTTTTTTAAGTCAATTTGGCATTTTATCAAATTGTAGTTGGAAAGGGCATACTCGACACTGTTCCCCTAACACTTACCAAGACCACATTCATAATTCCTAATTTAGCTCTAATAGATGAATATCTACCTTCAACAAACCTTCAGTGATAGCAGTTTCATGTGTTCCTTAAAAACTGATCTGTTTCCTTGATTACATCTTGAAGTTCAGAAAGTCTAGCAAGGTCATTGAGAAAACCTTAGCTAAACAGTGGACTTTCCACTGATAAATTTAAGTCTCCTCTATCCTAAGAAGTTCATTCATCATTGATTAAAACTTTGTCTACAGTACATTTGACCATTAACTCCATAAACGTCAACATGGAACTATCCTGAGGATTGGGATTATGTATGTTAACTACATCTGTGTGGTATCTTTAGTCAAACATTGTAATGGCATGCTCTAGGCTCAACCATTCAACCCAGAATATCGCACGAAAGCATACAGGGATTTCCTTTTTGGTTTTCTGTTGAGAGAAGGACAGAGTCAGACAGAGAGAGAGAGAGCACACACACGTGCAAGTAGACTTTGGAGGTGTGTGTATGTGCGTGCGCGTGCATGCCCATGTGTGTTTAAGTGTAAAATGAGGACAACTAATTCTCAATTGTAAATGAACTCTGAAATGAAAAAAACCTTCATTGGAAGAGTATTTCAGAGAAGGCAATGTAAATTAAAAAATGCCAATGTTACTACATTTGAACGTTCTAGATCTACTGTATGTATAACGCATTGTAATACAAGTTCCACAATTTATAAAAGAAAGCTAAGCTGATGAACTAGGCTTGAGAAAGACCAAATACATAGGCTTCACTATAGCCCACCTGTCTATAGGTCATATTGGAGAACCGCCTGCTGACTGGGCCAAGATACTCAAGAGGTCAGCATTCTTTACAGTATTTTAGGTATTAATATTTCGGACATATTGCTAGATAACTAATTAAAAAGCAGTGATTTTCATGGCTATTTCAACCATGCTTTTTTAAGCTTATTCTTCTCGTATTTCCCACCTAGGAACCTGAGTCGTTTTTTTTCTGTTGCTGTTGTTGTTTTTAAATTCATGTCCATAGTAAAGTTCATTACTAATAACAGTCTTCAACAAAAGCCCTTTGCTCCCCCTACCATTACAGTAGTGCTAATTCACACGTTTAAATTTGGCTTTTAAATTAAAGTTGGTTTTAAATCAAATTAGAAACTCTTATGGCTTCCGGTGGCATATGTTTGTTTTAGTTGGGCATGTAACAGATTTGTTGCACAAATTTCTGCTTTTCTGGTCTGTTTGCTAATTTAATTATTGAACAAATATCATGAGTCAGCCCACACATTCAGTCTTCTTGTGGTCTTCTTTTATCACATAGTCATTAGTGATCAAGGTCACTTTGGGAAAGAAGGGAGGTTTACAAAATGCTGTTAGACCAGAGCTATGAGAGAACTTCCATACGGCGATATACATGTCACTGTTTTTCTTAACTCTGGTTAAAGTCTTTGTTGTAAGTGGTAGGAGCAGAAAACACACTAAAATCAGCTTCACTGAATTTTTGAAAAAAAATGTTTCGTCCCTTGGTTCAAACTGCCTCATGCAAGTAAATCAGCTTCACTGAATTTTTGAAAAAAATGTTTCGTCCCTTGGGTCAAACTGCCTCATGCAAGCTTCAAAAGTTTAAGTTAATTCTAAAGCAAGGGATCCTAAGTGATGGTATTGTCACGCCAATGGTAGATTTTTTGCTGGTGCTCATCTTGACCTCTTTACACAAATGCTGGATTGTTGTTGCAATGTGACTATTCATGTTTCCAACATTGAGCCCATCGTTAAAGGTTTTTCTGGATTCTGTAGTCCATGAGAGGTTTCAACTTTAAAGCAAGAACACGTTAAATGCATACCTCTTTGTCTCCCATTCTCTGCAAGGCATCACCCAGATGAAAATAAAAGCGTCCATCGTTTGTGCCAGGGTCACCAGACTCTAGTCCTTCCTAAAAAAAGGAAAACAAACAAACAAACAAAAAACCAACAACAAAACCCAAAAAAACAATCAACAGACCAAAAAAACCCCACAGTAAACAAAAAACAAACAAACAAAAAAACAAACCAGAAGATATAAAAGAAACTTCAATAGGACTTCTAAAAGAGTTCATTTGATTGCTGTAAGTAGGCCACCAAGAGACAAGCTATAAAATTGGCGATAAAATAAAACCACCATGGTAACCTGGAACTCAGGCTGAATGAATACAAGACTTCAGTAAAAAGTTATTGAGAATTGTTATCAGTTTTACAAATCCCATGGCCTCTCTCCTTAGTCCCTCCAAGATAAAGGGGTATTCAGAGATGGACACTTGCCCCTGACCCTCTAAACACATACACAAGCATTTTAGAAAGCTGGATTAAGGTTTTATTTTGTAGTATTTCTTCCCAGACATTCAGAAGAACATGCAAGCCCTCTCTGGATCTCTCAGGAACATTAAGTTTCCAGCATACTGCCAACCTCAAAACAATTTGAGGCTCACAGCTGTGTACTTAGGGTTAACCACTAATACAACAAATACTTGATGTTTAAGAATTGATGAGTCTCAATATACAACCTTGTTCCAGTTCATAGGCAATACCACTCCAGTTATATAGCAATATAACTCCAACAAATAGCTTAAACTGTGATTTGTAATTAGTACACTTCTAGCTTGACATGTTTTATACATTCCAATTCTATTTCTTACTGGTAGAACATTTACTGTGGGTGAGAAAAGAAAAATACCTTTAGATAGGGTATGCTCTCTGCTATCTTGTTTTCTGCCTTCAGGATGAAGCCATAATGTACTTTGGCAAAGCCATCATTTGGAGCCAGGCTTAGAACCTGTTTGAGAGCAAATGAATTAAATGTGCATGTATGGAGCTATGCAAATTAACCACCCATTCACATATTACTATTTAGTGATGCAATGACACTTTCTTCCAACACTGCCTCTCGGATAAATTCTTGGCTTGGCTGTACTTGGTTTTCCCCGTTCACTTTTGTGCTTCTCTAGAAAAACCCATTACAAGCCAAACTTTAAAGTCTCAGGAATAAAATTATTCCAAATGGAATCTCTGAATTGCTTTATTTTTCAGTTGTCCGTCCTTCTCCACCCTCTTTCTTGAGGTACAGCATGCTACGTGACAGAATTAACACCAGTCATTAACACTTAAGTTACCTATCCACAGTTTGACTAATCTGAAGGAAAGCAGCCGCTCTTGAAAACATCTACAGCACAGTCACAGGAAGCGTAGTGTAGAAATATACCTGAAATAGTTTAAAATTAGATAGGTTTCTACTGGTGGCAAACTAGTCTTGGGAAGAGAACATATACTATGCTTCGTAGCACAGTGACTACAATTTAGAAAGATGCTGTAAAAGAACGCCTGCATCGCGTGACGGGACTGTGCAACCCCTGGAACGCAAAGGCCATTCATTCTCAGCACAACGGCAAACCGGAGCACTCTCTGGAAGACCTCACACTTTCCTGGCCAAGAGAAAGAAGGTAATGCGAGGTCTAATGCAGTAGTGATTCAATGTGCTTTCACACTAGAAGGTGATGGATAAATCATTCTTGCGTAGTTGTGTGCTGCGCTACTTGACCAAGACCAAGACCTAGCATGCTAATTTAAGCTAAAAGACTTTGTACCCTGAACAAATCCAGATAATGTCCGAGTTATTAACCTGGCTTAATTTTGCAGGAAAGGAAAATCCATAAGCAAATACCCAGAGACAGATATTTCATGGGGACTGTGCAAGAGAAAGATTTGTGAGTACAGGGAGAGCTGTGGGAAAGGAGGTGTGAAGCTGGATGGCCTGAGTTCTGAAACATCTACCCCCAACATTACTGAGGTCATTTAAGCGCATTTGGTCTGCCTCAGCCAAGGGGAAAATTAGAGAATGTCTTGATCTACGTTCCAGCTTCACGTTCCTATGATGTATATATTCAATATCATTTGTAGCTCTATGTGATCTCCATTACATGGTCAAGTTAATCTGTTGTTACACCTCTTCTCTCCTTAAAATAAAGGTAGATGGTCTTATCAGGATAGATCCTCCGTCTGTGAGGATCACAAGAGCCTGGCAGTCAGTGGAAT